TCAGCATCCACAATTCCTTTATCGACTGATCTGACCTCAAAAATTTGATCTTGGGGTGCTGCTTTAAATATTATATATAAAAGCTCACTCACAAGTGCTTTAAAACTTAAAACACAAGTGCTTTTTTTACGATTCCACGGCTAGCTGTCTCTGCACAATATCTGGCATAAAAGATGAGCTCAGTGCGTTGAACCCTAAAATGAATGTGTTCTCGTCATGCGCGCGCTTCTCTAATTAGCGGCAAGGATGCAGCAAAGGCACAGATCTGAGATTTTTGCTGCGATAGGCACAGTCGACATTGGTAGTATGATTTGCGAGAATGTTTGAGGGATCTCTCTGTCAGAGGATTCGCCAAAAGTGCGACAGCTTTTTTCTGTTCGTGTCTGTGAGAACTTTTTATGAATTAATATCAGCGACATGTTAGGGACACTGCAATACACTGCAGTTTTGCCGTAGTTAATTTGTACAGGCCTATCCTCAGACAGTGCTGTTCGATGTTCAGCAACAAATATCTGATGGATTCTATGTACACTTCGTACGCTAGGTGAACGGTACTGAACAAGGATTTGTATGCGCAACGCTTTCTAATACTATACAGAATTAGGGAAGCATTGTGGATTAGCATGTTTGTAGAAAGTCCTGGGAAAACCGTTTCATGATGATCAGCGTCTCCTTTCGCCCATTTAACACATGCCAGTCGGGAGCTCTCGCTGTAAGAGAGCTGGAGCTATTGATGTTGTAATTCCTTTTGATGTGGTAACTGTGAAAGTGGCAAGGACGCTTTCTTTCAACACGCCACATTTGACCATGAATGAAAAATGTCTTAGTAACTAGAGTAACTGGTCCATTTTCGTTTGCTTTTCCTGGGTTTTGGATTTTCTACGAGAGCTTCTGCAACAATCTTCGGTGCTAACTTAGTTGGGGGGGGGGCCACGCGGCGGCGCGGCAGTCTGCTCACCTGGGCTCTCTCGAGCGAGACAGTGTAAACTCGAACATTCCAGCTTTTCACGCATGTCAAGTGACTGCCCCCCCCACCCCCTAGACTGCCTACACTCCCCCTGGCCCACGGATTTCCGAACATGCCAGGCGAGCAGACTGCCGCGCCGCCGCGTGCCCCCCCCCAACTAAGTTAGCACCCAATCTTCTTTACATTCGCCTTCCTTTTATCTTTGGAGCGCAGCCATTGTAAGTACCTTGAGTGTAGCGATTGACGTCGAGCGATGACGAAGGCGTCGCTTTCCTTCAAGAGAACATGATACAAAATTAACTTTTTGTATCCCGGTAAGGATGTTAGATGTTCCGGTTATCCAAATACTGCAGAGGAAAATACGATAAGCGCTGTGGTAGGCATTAGCATTTGGCAGTGCCAGCGGCTGCTGCCGGTGTGAAGGTGTTAGCAGTTGGTTAAGGGCATTCGAAGAAGAAGGATTTTATTGAGGTTGGTGTGTATGTGTGAACAGGCCTTTCGAATGGATGATGGCTTTCATTTGTATGAATTGAGTGATTATAATGTTTTATGCATGTGATTATACCATGCGTCTAGCTTCATAAGGTATTCACAGACGCATATCGGCGGTACCTTTGCTCTCAATTGCACCGTTCCAAACTGCTCTAAATGTTATGGTTGCCTCACATTTTCATAGCTATATAATTTGCTTTTCTAAATACCTTGGCTACCAGGCGATTCTTTCGGTGTTTCGCAAAAATGCATCCTAATGCTGAAGCACCCAAGTACTATGAACCTTGTCTAGCCAATGAGCAACCCCGGGACATCCATCAATAATTTCGATTTTCCACTAGCTTACGAAAATAATTTCAAATACTGATTTCATTTTTGTCAAAAATTGTACCATAACGCTAGCTGTCTCTGCAGTCAAAAGGCAGCCGTTTATTAGGTTGGTGAAAGTCTTGAGGCACTGGGATGAGTATTTTGAAATCTCGGTCAATTTTGTTCGAACACTAACTCAATAAACTAATAATTACCATCATGCTATGCCATTCATCCAATGAGCGCCTGTCGGTTATTCCCTTCTCCCAGAAAGAAAAGGACACAGTAGTTCAAAAAGCGCACAGTATTTTTGAGGTCACCAAAGTGGCGAGCTTCTTCTTGACCAGGAACTGCTTGAGGTGCCTAAGGATGATAATTAGAAGGGGTGAGGTCAGGATAGTAGAGAGGGTGAGGGACGGTATTCCAGCCATGCCCCTGTAGCCTGACTGCGTGATCTTTGCGACGTGAGGTTGAGCGTTATCATGCAGAAGATGGACAGAAACCCTTCTCGGTCGCTTTTCTTCGATTGCATGAGCGAGTTCCTGGAGCTGGCGACTGTAAATGGTAGCCGTGACTGCCTGGCCTTGAGGGAGCAACTCATGGTATAGCATTCCCTTTGAGTCCCAGAAGCAGCACAGCAAAACCTTCTTGAGTGCTGTCCTGGCTTGGGCTGCACGGGTGGATCTTCTCCTTTTGGGAGCCAGACAGCGACCCTCTTGTTGTTGTCGTAGAAGATCCAGCTCTCATCCCCGGTCACCAGATCCTGCAGAAACTCCTTCCGATTTGGGGTAAGGAGGAGCGACTGGCGATTGAGACACGCGTGTGACGCAGATCGTCGGTCAGTTGGTGCGGAATCCATCGAGCAAAACTTTCCTGTAACCGTGCTCGTGAAGGTGTCGAACGACGTTGCTGTGATCGCACTCGAGAAGCTCCGCCAATTCCCTGCTCGTAGCCTCCGGCTTCTTCCTTCACTTCGCTGAGAAGTTGGTCGTCTTCAATAACAACTGGTCGTCCGGAGCTAGGATCGTCGTCGAGCATCGTATCTCCAGACTGAAAAGGAGCGACTAACCGTCGCATGGCTGACGAGGTTCTCTCCGAATGCAGTGTTGATATTGGAGGCAGCGGAACGAGCACTGGAACCGCGGCGCCACTCGTAGAAGACGAGCTCGAAGTTGACTTCTTGACAATTGCGACATGGTTTATACAGAAGGGCTCGGGGACCTATTTGAATACTGCTAGCAGTAACTCTGAGATTGTTCTAGAATATGGTGAAATCATGACGGTGGCAAAGATTTTTGTAGAGAAACGACGATCCATGCAAGTTTGTGTCTCCCTTCGTGACCTAATACGTTTGGAAATACCAATTTTAACATCGAAGAAACATTTTAGCATCTTCTCCGGTAAAAGGTTCACTATGGAGGATGAGCACTGAACGTGGCAATCTCTGAAACTTCGATGTAATCTAGATTAATATAGTACCGCTAGAAATTAGAAATCTGTGCAAAAGAATCAGTTCTTAGAGGTGTCGCCCAGCATCGGTGATCTTGTCGCCAATATGGTATATCGGTTGATTTAGGGTCCCTTGAAATATTGAATGGGCTGAAATTCACCTGTTTTTCCACTCATTTTTTGATGTTTGCTTGACATTTTCCTGTTATGTTTTCAGATTACCACGGATCGACGTCAGGAAGTCCATCTTCATCACTGTCCAGTCCTGACATGAAGGACAATTTGGGTGTTGACCTTTCGTTCATGCCGTTTGGCAACACTGTTCATCCGTTTCTTCACAGTCCTACCAGCAGTAATGGGTATGTCGATGGTTTTTTATCATTGCCGAGTCATTACTATTCACTCTACTAGTTAATCCTGATTGCACGAAGAGATCCTTAAAAAATAAAGCATCGAGTATTGAACCGTTGACGGTCCATTTTCTAAATGCACAACCCTATTCAGAATGGCACTTATTTTTCTCCCTTCTGCATCTTTCCCTCTGCATGGAAAGGTTTCAAAACAGCCTTTCAGCAAGTTCCACTTCGTCTGCAGGCTCTTTCAGCGTGACAGCGCTTGCAATTTATTGTCATGGAACTTTTTGGCTCTCCTGATTTTTTTTTGTCAAACCAGCCAGTATATCACTTTTAAATTTGACGATAATTTCAACAGATAGGATGCGGAGGCCTGATTACCATAAATCTTTCCAAGGAATTCAACTTTTAAGCACTCGATTTTTTCAAATCAAAAAGTAGAAAGTCAGATTCAATGGTCAACAGTTCATTCTTGAGTTCCGCATGTTTTCCGTTTGCAAACACCGAATAATTGACTAACAATACCATGAAAACTGTTATATTGCATAAAGGGATAAAGGATGAAGCACCGGCGTTGAAAAGTCAGTTTCTGTGAAGCGCCACGCATCCTGCTTCCATTCAGAATCGTGATGGCATTTTGACATCAGCTGTTAAAACAGTGGGCTTACGGTGTACAACCGATGTGCAGTTCAGTGCTTTTATCATCCCAAGCAAGTCTGGTTCCAATTAACCGACCCCTGAGGTATGGAAGCCCTTTCCCTAGTTCTGGCAGCGTATGGTCACACAATTTGATTCCCTGGCCGTACTTTGATAAGCAGCGCCACTTGCCAATACACCACTTGGATTTGGATTTCTGGCTTTTTCAGAATCGCCGTGATGCCTCTTTTTAGTCGCTTATTGCAGCAGTTGCCTCGTATCTCGTGTATTCTACAGGCTGTTTGCTCAGAAGCGTCTCTATAGTACGATAATGTTCTGATACGTTTGCGACCCTCAAATCCGGGACTGTGCAGAGAGTGGCCCGATGTTAAGGAGACGTGAAAGGGTCGCGCAGATTGCCCTCTTCATTTTTAAGAGAATTTCCAACGCTAAGGACAAGCCCGTAAAACTTAGTGAGCGTGCTTGGAGAGCTCAATTTTCAGAAACGCCGCGCTAGCGATCTTGAAGATTACCAGACTGTATTCAAATAGGGCTGAATCTAGCTGATCAAGGAAGGCATGGATGAATTGAAGCTGTTTTCGTGAATGTCAGTACTACTTTCTCTCGAGTACTTCAACGCTTAACCATTTGATTTGGTCATGAATCGCTGCGAAACTGATAGGACTGAAGTGTATGGCCAAGCAACTTGCAAGTGGCGCCACATACCATGCGCACGTTCCAGGTATCGAATCCGAGAGACCGCCGTCACACTCGGCGATGGACAAGCGACGGAGCCATTGTGATCGCTCCATCGCTTGTCCATCGCCGAGTGTGGTGGCGGTCAGATCAAACGCTGCCCAGGTTAACCAAGCCTTCCATCTCTGTAGGGTCGGTTGATTAGTGCGAGTGTAGCCTTGGAACGGTAAAAACCTGACCCTATCGTCGGCGGCCACCGCAAACAGTTGTTGAAGTCCAATCGCAGTCATGATGCCTATAACGGCTCTGAGTGAAGTATTAACGGAATGTCTACGAGAATCCTTGACCCCATTTTGACATTTTGCTTTACTTTTTATATATACCAGATTAGTCCCCCGTCAACCGCCGGGACCTTCCTTTCCTGCGCAAGCTTTCTATCCTCCGCTATGGTCCCTTCCTCCTGTGACACCAACACCTCCTGGAAGTGACGCGTATGCAACACAATGGTGTTTCATACAGTAGAAGGGACACAATCATGATATGACGGTAGATTTTTCGCTTCCCTTCCTCATCCTCCCTTCCTCTCTCCACTGCCCTCCAGCTGCCACTGCAGCACCATGTGGAATGAACGGAAGTGTGCTAAGCAGGTGTTTATATAGCCCTAAGAGTGTTATCACAACTATCCTGCTACAAAACATTGATATCTCAAATCCTGTAAGCTACCCGATTTGTTAGCGGTTTGTTTATCCCATGAGCTTCCTTCTCACTCACTTCATTTTGCGGACGGACACACACATACACATACATACATACATACATACATACATACATACATACATACATACATACATACATACATACATACATACATACATACATACATACATACATACATACATACATACATACATACATACATACATACATACATACATACATACATACATACATACATACATACATACATACATACATACATACATACATACATACATACATACATACATACATACATACATACATACATACACACATACAGACATACAAACCGACACACAAAGTTAGCGCTTTATAAAATAGAAGGATTGAATTGATTTAACTCAACAACATTATCATAACAATTTACTCACCACCATTGTTACTCACTACAGAGTCCCACCTAATGGGCAGGTCAGCGACCCCCTTCTCCCAGAACTGAGCAGACTGAGAGTCAAAGAAATCGCTGACCGCTCTTTCAACGTCTTCAACTTTGGTGAATTTTTTCTTCGCTAGGAATGCCTTAAGGGGCGAATGAAAGTGATAATTAGAGAGGCATATCAGGAAATGTAGGTGGCTGAGCCGTTTCCCTCATACATAGCTTAAATTTTGCAGCGGGTCTCTTCTAGCTAATGTGAGGCTCTGGCGTTATCCATGACTGTGGGAACAGAAGCTGGTCTGCAGTCGCTCTGCTCGAATCAGCGTGCCCAGTGTGCTGGAGCTGATTGGCGCTAACGCTGGCGTGACGTAATGTGTGTCCTTGCGGGAGCAGCGCGTGATGCAACATTCTTCGCAAATTCTGGAAGCAGCAAAGAAGACACTTTTCGAGGTGAAGATCCGATCTCGCTTATCGGTGGGTCTTCTCCTCGAGAGAGCCACACGGCGCGGTGCTTATTAGAATTGTATAGGACCCAACTCCCATCTCCCGTGGTTATCAAGTCTCCAGAAACATTTTTGGTCCTGCAGCGAGAATAGACTGACAAATGGATCGCTCCTGAATCGCCATTGCCTATCGCGTCCATGAGCAATGAGGATCATTCGTAGTGAACGCCTCTTCCTGTAACCAAAGGGTCGTTGGAGGCAAACGGAGGACGTGTAGGATGGGTACACCTGGCCTTTTTGCAAAAGGCTGCGGATGCTAACCTCCGGATCCCACCACTCTGTGGAGTCCTGACTGCCACCAGAATGGTGGAGTCTTCCACTGTTTGAGGGTGTCCCAACGTTGGCTTGTCCTTAAAACCCGTGTCTCCTCCTTTGAAGCGAGTGAAGCAGCCCTCGACTCTCCTGATGGAAGTGCTGTCCTCTCCCAAGCGCTGTTGATGCTGTGGAGGTCTTCCGTCGCTCCTGTGTCGCGGCGCCATTCATAGAAGACAATCGCTGGAACGCGATTCTGCGAAATTGACATCATGGGAGAAGTATGACCGATAACTATGATCTGCCACGTGGCAGAACACCGATCAATAGTTGACAGATCTGGAACTTTCGAAAAAAAAATCGGCTCAAGACTTTTTCATCCCAAGTATAATAGAGTGCGTGGCGCTTCTCTGAAAGAGATTGATCGTTGTCGTACGATTTATGTTTTTAACTTTTTGGAAACCAGGTAAGCAGTGATAGTGAAGCTGTACAATGATCTCTGAATGACATCACTCTGAAATAATAGCTTGTTAATCGTATTCCTAATGTATAACGGGAGCGATTCACGTCTCTGATTTCAGAAGCCCGTTCGGGCAAATGCTGTCATCTGGTAGTATAACTCAGCAGCACAGTCCACTGCCACCAGTCAGTCACTTCTCGCACCAGATGACTCCTCATCCGCAGGCATGTGTTGCGGCTGTTTAAAAAAATATGCTGGTATGACGGAAATGTTTTCAGCGTGATCAACGCAACCAACACCAGCAAACTCATCAGCCAGGTTTCTCCTCTTCGATTCATCACGGGCAGCCTCCCATGACACCTTTTAACGGTGTGGGACCACAAGAAACCATAACATTTTTTGATGGTCAGTTGCTTCCTGTCCGTACTTTTGGTTTTGAATGAGTAGGTCTTTGTTTTTGATTGCATCATACGCTTTTAGATCGCCGTGAATTCGTCGTTTCAGCTCTCGATGATCGCACTCCATCACCACCAACCTCCGAGCGTAGCTCTCCTGCTGGAGGAATGTTGATGACCAATGTAGTTTATGGCACTTGCAACCCACCCCATTTTGCTGGCAGTAATGGTACGGTGATGGAGTGTAAATGCTAAACTTTCTTTCAAAAGTGGCAGTTCTGCTGTTCTGAGGATGTAGCCCGCAATCTGTGGAAAGCGTTTACAGGTATGATCAATAGTCTGTCGGCAGCGCAGCAACAGCTGAAATCACGAAGTAAGATGCACGAGATGGCAGTGCGTCAACGGCTCATAACTGACCAGGTGTGTGGGAGATGAAGCTGTGTCATTATTAATGATGCCTTGCCCTCTCTTGCTTGTGAACATTGAATTGTCAGACTTTTCATTCGTTGTGACTAGATTTTTATTGTATGTATTGGTGACTGGAGAGCACAAATACACCAGATTAGGAGGCGTTTCGTCGTCAGTCCAGCGCACTTCCACCATGGAAGGCTGACGGTGATCCGTCTCCCAGTCAAGGATACTTTATGGTTTTCTGTTAGGTCTGTATGATGAACGTTTCTCGATTCGCCACAATTCTGATTTCGAACTGTTTTTTCACCCCTCATCGCCAAATTTGATTGGTTGCTGCAGAGCAATCCCCACTACTGTTTTCCTTCATACAACTGTTTTCTTATTTATTGTTGATTCTTCGAGATTATAAGAAGTAAATAGCGGTGCTCAGCTTTGATCTACTTCCTTTCAGGATCCTCGCAGCCAAGGACTAGTTCAGTTGTCCGCGGAGGAGAGAAGAACTCTAATTCAGGAGGGCTATCCGGTAAACTTATAATCTTCTGTTCTCTTGCACACTCACTGATAACAATAGCGACGAACACAATGTGTTTTTGTTGCAAAAATTTGTTTATCATTCATTAAGGTCCCCACTCGACTTCCTCTCTCGAAAGCGGAAGAAGAATCGCTGAAAATTGTGCGCCGAAAAATCAAGAACAAGGTGAGCGAATTCCCTTTGGCAGGTTTATGGCGTAGAATTTAATAGACATTTGGTACATGAGGCAATGCAATCCGGCCAATCCCTTGCTTGAAAACGGTAGGCGATTCTAGCGATTTCTATTGGAAGCCGTTTTCATGTCATCATTGACAATCGATAACTGATGTTAGACGTGGCAACCCTCGTTGTTATTGGCATTCATGTCGCTTCAGCTGTCGCATTATCGCTTAGTTTTCACCCTTATTGGCATGACGCTTCACGTATAACACCTGTATTGCAGCTGTCTGCTCAAGAATCTCGCCGCAAACGTAAGGAATATATGGACACTTTGGAGTCTCGTTGTCAGGCATATTTCAATGAAAACAGTCAGCTGAAGAGTGAGTAGACGAATCTTCTGCCTTTTCAAGTCAGCAGTGAGCCGCTATAAGTTTTGTCATCTTATGAATTGGAAGTGGATCTGGTTCCAGCTTCTTCTTATAGTGTTCTTCAGGCTGTTAGAGTTTTTAATTAGTTCTATGGTTCCATAACTATTAATAATTACGACCATGGTTTTCTGTTCAAATTTCGAAAAAAAAACTACGTAACGATGCTCGAGGTTCTTTCTGTCCTGTATAGCTGCAATTTTTAGATTTCATTTTCAGATTTACATAACTGGTGAGTAAAAAGCTAATCGGTTCCAGTTGTTGGTCCGATCGAGACTTTTATTTCTGATATTTAACCTACGAAGGAGCCTCAAATGAATTTTTAGTAAAATATAACAAACAAGAACCAATTTTTGTTATTGTGTGGGTGCTACATGCTTCCATCGAGAGCAGCTCCCATCTACATACCCTAGTTTTTTTGCTCAATACCGAGCAAAACTCTTCACTGGCACAATCATTAGGTTTATCTTTTATTCTGGTACTTTCAAGATCAATCTAATGGTTTGCGCAACTATGCTCTGGAACTCTTCCACTGAAGACTCTTTTACTGAAAGATCTCTAGCGGTTGGAGGCGCGACTTCAGGTGGTAAATAGGCGTAAAATGACTCAGTTCTTTTAACTTTCCGTCCTGAATAGCGTAGCAAAGATTGTTTTGTGTGGCTTCATATCCGCCCTAATTAGTATTGCACGCAAATAGGAATACACTGCTTGAGAATGAGAAGCGCTTTCACAAAATGGTTCTTTGAGCGCTAAAGCAAAAAGATTGGAAGCACTAGATGTCTTCGGCTTGATGAAGGCTTGTTCACTTTCTACTCTGACTATGTACTACGAAAGACCAGTCTGCCTGATGAATTATTTTCAGCAGAGTTTCAGTGTCGGTAAACCATGTGTTGGTAGGAAAGGGTTATTCATTGAAAAATAAAAATAATGAGTAGAAATAGTTGGGGGTCACTTCATTGCGCTTAGTCTATCCATGCAAGGATAGGAAAAGGGACAATGATACAACCAAACAACGACTAATTTGGAACGTTTATTGGACTGCGGAACCTTCGATCATGTATTGAGCACTGGTCACGTCAGAATTTATTAGAAGTCTTCTTTTATTGCTTATGGCAGGACACTTTAAATAACAGAAGGGTGATTGGTCCTCCACTCTGAAACTGTGCCGACAATGGAGCTAATGCCATCGCCTCACTGCTGCGACCGCTGCCACACTTGTCAGTCGAAGCATATATACTTCTAACGCCCTCTCGTACGGCATGCTTTCTCGTACCGCCACGCACTGTCATCTCTCTGTCGTACTCGATCGACATTCAATGAGAAATTTGAGGTTTTCTTTACGCTTTTGTGATTTTTTTCCCCAGATGTCCCTCTTCCACGCTTGGCCTATTTTTCAAACAAATAACGACACCAATTTGTTTTCCGATTACGCGATCCGTGCTTTCGGAGTTTGGAATCAGAATCGGCAACGATCGTTAATCAGAGTGACTTTTTGCCGAGTAGTTATACGATGGGAGGGAAAAGACCTTGCCGGTGCTCACCGGAGTGGGAGGGAGAAGACCTTCCGCGTGGGCGAACGACTGTTCGCAAAAAATCGGATAGAGATTGGATTAGATGAGCGCGATTTAAGATCCTACACCGGTTGTTGTCGAAAGTTGTGTCGAATGACATCGATCGCCGTATCGCAATGCTCTTTATGTACCAATAAAGGTGTGCTTAGCGAAGCACAATGGCGTTCCGTCCCCTGTTGCATTGGTTGATAAATGCTGTTCAATTAATGCTGTCTGTCTGCCTGTCCGAAGTACTTTTATTTTAGATCGCGTGCGGGTGCTCGAAGCGAACAACCAAAAGTTGTCGAGCCAGGTGAAGAAACTTCAAGAGATAGTGGGAAATGGAGGTCCACATTCGGATCTTCCCGTAGCACACTAGGTAATTGGAGTCAAATAATTATTCGACGCTTTTCGTAAATAATTGTATTTACAGAGAAAGTTCGCGTTTGCCAGAATCTTTTATCATCATTACTCTCAATATTTCTTCGAGGGATGGCTGAACATGCAGTCGGTCTGGCGCCGTTTGTCCACTTCCTTGTGGATTTTCAGCCGTCTACCTGCTGCCTCGCCCAACTGTGTGCTTCGGTCGTTTCTCTGACCTAGGTCTGCTTGATGAAATGCGTGTATGCGCCGCTTCTTTCGTGGCTGCCCGATGAAAATGGGGCCTCGTTAAGTTCTATTTTTTACTTCAGCATCTTGCGTGATCTCCGGTGCGGTTGCATTAAAAGAAAGAGCGGCGATCCAATTTTGTGTTGTTTTTTTTGCGTGCGTAATTACCTTTTACTTCTACTTTATAAAGTACTGAATGTTTTAGTATGTATTGTTCGCTGTGAGCATAATTTAAATTATATGAAAAAAGCACATTCTATATTCATTTATTGTTTTAAAATCTATTACTATTATATTGAACGTGCAAACGCCACATGACCTGTGATACATTTGGACACTTTTAGTGATCATTGACCCTATTGTTTTCCCTTGATTTCAAAGAACTGTGGTTGTATGATTGAAATTTGATTTCATTGATATCAACCATCTTCCTCTTCTTGTATAGTAGTAATTTTGATTCTCATGTTTTGTGCTGAAAGTGATCCGCTGTTTGTGCAGCGCTGACCACGATTGCGCAGTGCTGCCCTCGGGCGTTCATTACCTTTTTTAATGTAAGACTTTTCTTATTAAGACGTTTTTTCTTTTTTCCTTTTTTATAATGTGATGCGGTGGTAATAAATATTTTTACGTTCTTTATGTTAATAATTGACGATAACTAACCTCTCATAACAAATTCATCTTTTCTCTTTGTTAGTCGGATTTTGGCTTCCTAGCTCTGACTCGATTGTTTCAAAGGCAAAGTTTGAAGTTCTCAAAACTAGTGAAATAACTACTTCACTTTGAGTCAGTCCTCAAATTGAACTCACTAGGGGCTCTGGCACGTTACATCTAGCAGCAGTCTAACCTATCAGAGAAGCCCTTATGAGCAACAGTTCAACTCTTCAATAAGTTTGGAATCACCACAGATGGAAAATTCGGGGACTCGAAAGTTACAGTTACCACCAGGATACAATTATCAGATGCAGAAACTAGGTCTCCCTTGTCGACTTTCGTACATCCAAAATGAAAAAATTAATGTGAAAACCCAGAACACACCCTAAATACTTCCACTCTGTGTTGTATAGAACGTCACACGATATCTACTTAGGAAAAAACTTGTTTTCCTTTTCCCAAGGGAAAATCGCCCTCCAAATAAAGTAATAAATTCTCTAAAAGGATTTTTCGCACTTCCTTGCTTTTGAGATTGTTTACACCAGGGAGCTTCCACTAATACTCTAACATTTCTATATTTTCTCCTGGAGGCGATCGTGAATGAATTCATACAAAAGTTTGTTCCCTATACGAGTAGAGCAGAAGGCCTGGAAACATTTGGACACGCCTTAGTTGCGTGCCACCACGCGCCATCCCTCATCCGAAGGCTCGTGTTAACGGGGAAGTGGCAGATCTCAATTCTATTCTGGAATTACTTTGAGGTAAGAGTTACAAATACTTCCCAGAAGTTGGTTTGTTCCATCAAGCTACTATGCGTTTTTAACGACACAATGTCTTGGTCCTCATAATTTTGGACCACCCTGTAGTGCCGGTCTGCTGCGTGTTTTTTTCGTAGATCTTCGTATAAAGTCGCCTCACCTTGAAATCTTACTAGCTGTCAGCTTTTCCTTTTTCGCTGATGAACATATTATTATAATGGTAATATACAAAATATAAAGACTCATAGTCTTGGTTACAAAAGACGCGTTGCTGCAGCGACCAGCACCCGTGGCTAACTCGTCCGAATTGAAAAGGTGTGAGGGGGAAAGGTTGTTTCATTTGCTGCTTTTTTCATAGACGCACAATTTGGTACTTCTACATTCCAATTTCAACGTCATTACAGTCCATATCCGAGAGTGGGGTAGGCGTGTCACTGGAGCCGCACTTCATAGATGTCGCGCGCGCGGATA